CCGCCGCCCGCCGCCCGCCGCCCGCCTATTGTAAGCATTGCAATTATTGGTTGTCGCCACCACTATCGACGAGCATATTTTACATTGATTTCATTTTTCTTCAAACCAAACACAAATATATAAATTCCTGCATTTATATTTCACCAAACCAAACAGCTTCAAAGTACTTCAAATATACTTTAATTCAATTATATTGTGTTCCTTTTGCACTGCATTCCTTTTTCAGCAATCCAAACATGCCTTAAATGTTAAAAAGAAAATACATAATAAGCCTCACCCCAAAACACTATGAAGAAAAATAAAGATCATAAAACACAACTAGCTCGTGTTTCATCTGAAAGCTATAGACCTCAAGTGTTGCATGTTTCTCCCCCACTTTTCACGGCATTCAACAAAGAAAGCAATCATGACCAGATATGTTGTTAAATATTATTGTTCCACAAATAAGATGCAACAAATGATAGTTTTCCTTCTGCAAAACATTGCATCATATGAATAGAAGCCATAAACAGAACAGCTAATATGATTATAGGAGTGAATTAAAAGTGGTAAGAATTACTACATAAGTAATTACAAATAACCATGAATCTCAAAAATTGAATTCCACAAAACTGTGAAATGTTCATATTGGCAACCGACTTTTTTGAGACCGTCACTAAAAAATAAATTCCTAAACCAGATGGAAAGTAATTTTTAAAGGTATCTTACTTTTCGATAATTAAGGAAAGAATTCTGAACAGGTTGTTACAAATGCAGGCTAATCAGCATGCTACAAAAGAGGGGGAAATTTCTAATTCTCATCGAATGAATACAGATCATGTCACATTGCTGCTAGCCAAGAAGAATTCAAGATAGATTTAAGAGCAGGTTGTTACTACAAAGTATCAAGTTTGGTTTTAAAGTTAAAAAATTTGCTTATGATTATAGTGAGCACACGAGATTGCATCCTCACTCTACCATTTTCAATTACAGCAGAGGCATTAAGGAAATTGTCGATAATCTCCATGCAAGAATTATGCAAGTCCACCATCATCATTAATCTTATCCTAACTATTAGAGGTCAACATTAGGAATCCTCATTGTCCATTTCTTTTCAAAGACTACTTCATCATTTTTTCTAATGATTGATATTTGAAATATCAAGCATATTCTTTGCAAATTATAAATAATTATTCATACAATCTTATACCTACCCATTTTTCTGTTTCATCTATTCACATAAATTTAATCTACATATTTAACAAGCATATTATCCATTTTTTCTTTTACTTATCTGAATCAAATAACTCTATATTTAGTTATCTTATTCTAAATAGATGTCAAACATTTTTTTTAATAAAATCATTCATTAATTCAGTCTTACTAATATTGCCACGTCTATATCAAGATTCATATTTATACCACAGTCAACTTCGATATTAATGATTTTTTATCACCCAAGATTCAATTTCATACAACATTAGTCTAGTTGTAAATTTTAAAAAATCCATAATATCCACTTACCATAGCAAAACTTATCAATTCTTCATTTAAGCCATTCAAAATTAATTTAAAAAATAACATACTTACTTATATATTTATTCTTCTTTCAAATAGATGCAAGATTCTAAAAGCTATTATATCCTAGTATCAACTTATCTTCTAATAATATTCATTGATAGCCATTAAAAGCATAGTGACCAATATTATATATGATATAATCAATTTTTATTCTACTAATTCAAGTTTCGTCCCTTTAAATATTTTCTACATTTTTTTTCCAAATTGGTCAATATTTCAGTGACTCGTCCACTAATTAAAATTATATAATTTAAAAAAAACATGCACCAAGGCATCTCTCTTTGAATATCCTTAATAAACACCTTCATAACCAAAAACAAAAAACTATGGACTTAATTATCATCATTAGTGTAAACCTTTGATACCCCTCTTAGTGAGATAAAGGCTTCTTGTTGTTGTTTAAGTGTAAACCTTTGATAATTAAAAATTTTGGGCTCATTCAATAACTTCTAATGCAAATGAATATGCCCGATCATACAAATCATTAATAATATCAGCATATCTTTAACATCCACTTTTCTACTTTATAACAAAACAAATTAATTTTGGTGGTGCTTGATCTTAAATCATTTTAAGATAAATAAAAATCATATAAAAATTATTTTTTTCTTTAGATATCTTCATTATTTTTCTTAGCACAATCAATTTAATAGTAGACCTTAGTGCAAGAAATCAAATTGTTCCCATAGATTGATGTAATTTTTTTGAACCTATATTCTATTACTATCTCATAGAAATAGTACATGAATATTAAATTTGACTCCTCCATAGTTTGCACAAACCTAAATATCATCTTTGTTCTTAAATATTAGTATCAAAATGCTTCATCAATCATTTAATGACTTTTCAGTCTTCAAAATTTTATTAAGCATTTTTTAACCAAATCACATATCCTTACAACTTTCTAAATCTCAGAAAATATCTCATATTAACCTAAAGTTTTATATTTATGCATATTTTTAGCGCATTTCTACTTTAATGTTTTTTTGGATAAATCCATTATATACTTCACTATATTGTTTCTCATGCTCTTTAAAAATAATTTTGTACTTAAGACTCTTATAGTGTAATTTCTCAAAAGAATATTTTATTTTTTATTGGTATTTTCATCTTCAACAAAGATCATATTACCTTCACTTTTAATCAATCTAATTTGATTAAAAATTTTAGACCACTTATCCCTAGCTTCTAATGTTGCAATGGTTTTACTCAAGTTGAGTACGATTTTATTTAAGGTCATTCATATTTTTTTTATCAAGTTTGTGTTGTGATCAAACTTTAATCAAGAACTACTAGTTATAATTTAGAGATAATGATAAAAACATATATGTTTATGTTAGAAGTTATATTAGAAAATAATTTATTCCATTGATAAGCTTCTATTTTAGATTTATTTTCTTAGATTGGATTTATTTACTTTCTTTTGTTAAGCTTTCCTGTTTTAAGTTGTTTCCTTTATCTCTAAATAATTTTTATAAATTGATTAATTAAAGATATAGGTGTTATATCTTTCATTTCCTGTTATTTTTTTTCTTGTCTTTCCTATTCTAAAATTCATATAAGGGTTATAACCCCTTCTCATATCAAAAATATAATTATGTTGAATTCTAAAAATCAACATGGTATCAAAAACAGGTTTCCGACCCTAGCCATTCCTTTGAGAGCCGTCGGACTAACCTCCCACCATCCTCCCTGCAGGAAGGGAGTGACTCTCAACTGGACCTTCTCCAGGCAGCCATCAAAACCGGAGACCTCTTTACATTCTCCCTGCATCTGGCAAGAACCAATAGCCGAAATCGATTTCTGCAGTTAGCAATACCTGTAGCTTTTGTTGCGCCTTTTTTTCTTCCCTGCGTGGGCGCCGCCAGTCGTCGAAGTTGATTTCTGCAACCTTTGTTGTGCCTCAATTTTTTTCCCTGTGTAGGTGCCCAATTCGCCGTTGCATTGTGATTTCAGCGTTTTTCCTGCGCAAACATTTGGGCAGCTGCAGGCTTGCGTTTTCAGCGGACCGCTGGCATTATTTTCTCTTTCTAGTAGAAATTTCGGCTCACCGATGACATTTGTTTTCTCTCTCCAGTGCAAATCACGGAAGATCTCCAGTTCAAATCCCAGTTTTTCACTCTTTGATGGAAATCTTTGTCCCCTGCAGAACCGCACAGAGGAGAGGAGCCTTTTTACCCAATGGCTTCCTTGCGAGCTCTCCCATGGTCGTTTTCCTTGCATTTTTCAGTCCCCAATCCTTCCTGTGGGGTCTTCCAGTAGTCGGACCTCCTGATCTCCTTCCAGGACCGCCAAAGCACCCACCTACAACCGGTTTGCAGGCTTTCATGCTGCGGGAACTCCCTTTTGCAGCCTTTCCCGCCAGTGGAATTCCCTCCTGCAGCCTTTCCTGCTGCCAGAACTTCTTGATGACCTATCTGCTGTCGGCTGGACCTCCGGTCCCACTCCTACTGTCGATGCTCTTCCCTGTTGTCTTTACTCCGTCGGACCTCCCTCCTACATTTTTTCTCGTCGTTGGATCTACCTCAACAAATTTTTCCCAGCAGATTTCAGGCAGCTGAGCATCTTCCCTGCAGGTCCCTAACAGTCAAAAATCATCTTGTCGGTTGAAAGACTTCCCTGCAGAGCTTACCAGCATCTTTTGTTGGTCGCAAATTCCTATCGACCGCAAATTTCTGTCGGCCACACCTTATTGCAGCCGCCACTGTGGCGCCCTCCCCCATTTCACATGCATGGATTGTGGAAATGAAGAGAAGGTTGTTATAAAGGAGTTTATCTTTGGTTTTCTTTCAAAATGCCTTAAGAAAAGTTATCATAGAAGCGATATTGGATGTATCTTTGAATAAAACCCCAACAAGCAGCCTACATACCCTTCTCCATCAGTTTCTTCAATGCTGTCAAAAAACTCCATGTAGGTTCTTCCCTGTTTTTCCTTTGCCACTAGAACTCTCCCTATAGTTGGAAGTATCCAGTTGCATGCCCTCGTCGCTACAGAGTCTCTTCCTCTTGGAGTTTTTCCTGTAGCAGACTCTCCTCCGGAGCTTATTCCTGCATTTGACCCTCCTCCAGAATCTTTCCTGCATCAAACCTTCCTCTGGAACTTTGCCTGTAATAGGCCCTTCTCAGATGTTTTGTCCTGCACCACGCCCTCCGCCGGAATCTTTCCTGCAGATCATCCTGAATCTTTCCTGCAACAGACCATCTTTCGGAGCTTTTCCTGTAGCAAACCCTCCTCTTGAGTTTTTTCCTGCATCATCAGGCCTTTCTCCGAAATCTTTCTTGTAGCAAACCCTACTCCGGAGCTTGTTTCCGTTTTTTTCCTATTATCTTTTTTTTTGTAGGTCATACTCTGCTGCTTTTCTTGCAGGTTGTTTACTTCCCTGCAAACTTCCCTGCAACATTACTTAAAGAAGTTTTCCGCCAACCTACAGATACTGCAGAAACTGCAGGCAAAGACATCTGCAGTCAACTAAAAGCCAGTTTTTTTCTAGAGGTTGTCTACTTCTCTACAGTATTACCTAGAGGAGTATTTCGCCTACCTACAGACACTGCAGAAACTACACTTAAAGACAACCAAAGTCAACTAAGAATATCTCTAAATGCCCTTGGGGTTGATTACTAAGTACGGGATGCAGACTTCAAGTTCTACTTTACAAAGGGAATTCCTTACCCATTGTTTGATGTTTTCTACTCCAAATTAAACATGATTTTCAACCATATTTCAATTTGAGAGGGAGTGCTATAAGTTATATTAGAAAATAATTTATTCATGTGAGAAGTTTTCTATTTTTGGTCTATTTCCTTGGATTGGATTTATTTCCTTTCTTATGTTGGGCTTTCCTATTTTATTTTGTTTCTTTTATCTCCAAATAATTAATATGGATTGATTAATTAAAAATATAGGTGTTATATCTTTCCTTTTCTGTTACTTCATTTTTATTTTATTTCCTATTTTAGAATTCATGTAAGGGTTATTCATAACCCTTATTCATATCAATAATATAATTTTGTTGAATTCTAAAAATCAACAATTTATTACCAAGATAACAATTTTTTTAAGTTTTCTTAAAAAAGGCATGATTCACAAAAAAGAATATTCATGTTTGTTTTTCTCTTTTTTAAGGTTCAAAATTTTATAAAACTAATTTTAATCTATACATTTAGTTATCTTTTATATTTGCATCATATTTATGAGTAAAAAAATATACATATTTTTTAATGCATAAAAGATAAAAAGATTAATGTAAAATTATTACATAGATCATGAAGTAATTAAATCATATTTAAATGAGCAACTTATCAAGTACCCCAGTGTCCAGATGACTAGCACTACCATGCAAGCAGGTCCGGTGTTTGTGTAAGCGAACCCTCACAAGGGTAAGTACCCAGTGGCCAGATGACTGGCACTACCATGCAAGCAAATCTAGTGTTGCTGCGTTGCACCCGAGTTGTTAATCACTAATAACTTGTTGTTTTTTAATATTTTTTTATGTGTGTTCCTATACATAGCAAATAAAACCTACATCAACCTTTTCAGAACTTGGTTGGCCATTAAACAATCGCTAAAGCAATAATTTTTTTGAATCTTTTTGTCACCTGCAGAACCCTCATTCAGGAGCAATGAGCCCTTAAGGATGTGATCATTTCCTTGGGCTGGTATGATTAGATCATCCTCAGCAAGTTCCTGCCACACAAATCCATTTCAGTAGCTCCTACATCACAATTCAATGAATTAATTCAACCACCCATCATCATATAACGAGATTGTTCTAAAATTTTACCATCTTTGTTTCCAAATTCACCTTACAAGACCACGAATACATGGCGGGCATGTGATTTACTCTCAAAACAACCAGACGACTAATCACATCTACAAGAAAACAAATAGCTTTCATCAGACGAGAACAATGAATTCCCAAATAAGAACAGTATGAGATACGTCAATTTGTTTTACTGACCTCTTAGGTAGAGACCTTCGGGCGAGGAGAAGGAACTTCAATGAAATGGGGGTGCTCCAAAAGGCTATTCTTGCAGAGATAATTTACAACTGGAACCTTTGTACCTTGCTGCCTCTGCATGCAATGCTTGCCTGAAGGCTCCGTCCATACGATGAATCTCACCGGACCCACCTGCACCCCATTTCTCCTCACCCCTCCCTCCATTTCCGCCAACCTTTGAATAACTATAAAGTCTTCAATGAAGATGAAATCTAAATTTGACCCAACTCAAACTCCATAGACGGAGAAAAAGAAGATGGAAAGCAGTGTGCTCTAAAAAATCGAACATAGCTGAAGGGAAAGTAAGGTTTTAGAAAAAGCACAAATGGGAGCAGCTTCGCATAGAAGGGTGAGAAACCGCCATGAATCACATGAAGTTAACTTAAGAAGAATACTAAGGAAAGTGGGGGAAGTGCGAGGGTGCCCATTTTTCATTCAAAAATAAGCAGCGCACTGAGAGCAGCATCTATGGTCTTTAGGTGGGAAAGTGGAATTTGATTCGGACTCTTTTCCTCACGGAGGGCGAGACCCCTGCAGCTTCTGCCCCGATGTTCATGTGCTGAGCTTTTGGATGCATCTGGAGCATCGGTGCGTTGGTCCGGTCAATAAGGGTCTAAGCCCGGTCCGAATTAGTCAGATGATTTTTTTTTTAATGAATGATGATCCATGACACCTAAGGTATCTCAATTTAATGATCAATGAAATTTGAAAATAATTTCTCAAATATTTACTGAATTGGTGAGGAAATCCAATGCAGTTCAAATACTTTAGTAGGCAGCAGAAAGAATGACCTAATCCTTAAGTCAATATAAAACCTATTGATTGAGAGGGGACAACAACAACGGTAGCTAGCGGTGTGTGACAATATAGTGACTGGATATGTTTTCACAACATAACCTAACATAACATATATAAGATAATATATTATACCAAGTCAAGTACATAACAAATATATAACCAAAGATTTATTTGGAATGAGTTTATTTTATCTTCTTGATGTGTGCTTGAACATTCTCAATAGTAGAGTGATTATTTAGCATCTTAGTATTTTATGAAAATCGAGCACATGCTTAGAAAAAAAAGAGAGAAGTAAATAGGAGACACCTCAATTTTTACATGAAAAATCCTAAAAATAAGACAAAATTACTGGGTCTAGCCCAGTTGACATAACTATGTAATTATAAATATATAGGTCCACTCTTTTCCTGAATTAGGGAATATCAAGTTACAAAGTTAATCATTGTAGATATACAACAATAGCTCATTAGTAATAGTTGTAATGTAGTTGTAATAAATGTTGTTCTCGGCGATAATAGATTGCAATGGTCATAGTCGGGTTGTTATGAAGCCAGCAGTCCTCCATGAATGTTGAAGGTGGTGATTGTAGCACCAACTTATCATAGAGGTTGTAGTTGAAAGTCATGGTAGTAATTAGAAGTGTAGGTCATAAGTGATTATTTCAAGAGCATTTAGTTGGTCATAAATGTCGTAATAGGAATTTGCTAGAGCTGTGAGTCATTTAAGGTCATGCATGTTGTGGTGATGAGCTGTAAAAATGTTCTGAGGTTGCAGAGACCGGAGTTGAGAACTACAGAGCTATGAGGCATGTAGATTATAGTTGGTCACATAGGCTGTAGTGGTGAGTTGTAATAACATTTGTAGGTCACAGAGGTCAGAGTTCAGATTTGCATGAGCTGTGAGCCACATAGATCAGAATTGATTACATAGGCTGCAGTGGTGGCTAATAAAAACAATAGTAGGTCGGAGAGCTCAGAGTTGGGAGCTGCATGAATTGTGATAACATTCGTAAGTTGTCGAAGCTGGAGTTAGGATATGCATAAGCTATGAAAACATTCATATGTTTTAGAGGTCGGAGTTCGGAGTTGCATGAGCTATGAACTATAAAGGCTATATTTGTTCACATAGGTCATAGTTGTGGGATACGAGGAGGAGATCTGTTGGAGTTCAAAGAAAGTCACCATATTATGAGTACAATATGTAAGCAATTATTGTGGGGTGTATTATTACACCATCTTCGAGAGACATCGTTGTACCAAATTTCTGGTACATCATTGCATCATTATCGGGATGCATCGTTACACCGTTTGTGGGGTGCATCATTACACCATCTTCGGGATGTGTTGCAACATTATATGTGGGTTGCATCTTGCAACATCGTTGGGGCATTGTTACACTATGTTAGCGGTTGTGTCGCTACACCTCTATGCATAAGAGGCGTTATTACAATGTCTTCGGAGTGTGTTGTTACACGGTCTTTAAGATACATTGTTACATAATATTTGGGGTGTATTGTTACATCATCCTTGGAGTATATTGTAACCCCATCTATGGGGTGCATTGTTATGCCATCTAAAAGGCGATTTATTACACCATCTTCGGAGTGTATTGTTTCACCATATTCAGGATTTGTCGTTATACTATCTTTGGGGTGCATCGTTGCACCATAGTGTACCCCAGGATTTTGTAGCATACAACATGATTTAGTATGGGGCTTTGTTGCAACAAGCAAGAGGCGATTGATAATGTTCGGCTATTGTTGATGAGGGAAGATCGATTGTTATTAGCGGTGTCATGAGCTAGAAGCATTTATTGGACCTTCGGTGTAGAACACTGACCTTAACTCCTACTTCAAGCTTTGATCTTCCTCTATTTCCTTGTTTAAGTTCTTCATCATCTCTTCATGAAGGGGGGTAGAGCTCTATTTATAGAGTTTGGGATAGGCCTCCTTACAAATAAGGAAGGAATCTAGACCACTTCATTAGATGATCCATAGATATTTCCTCGAACATATGGTATTTTATGGACATTAGAGTGCTGTAACAATATCAGAATTGAGTGATTTTGACCTCGTTAAATTTGTCTTGTCAAGATATTCAATTTAACCATAAGTTTATTATATTTATAATACAATTGACCTTCCAATTGAGTACTAAAAACTTTAAAAAATAATCTTATGGTTTGATCTGGGATTGATTTACCTCAAATTAGACCAACTTTAGTGTCATTGTGTTCTTCTCGTCAAACCAGTCAGTTTAACTGTAGGTTTGTTGAAGTCAAAGTTATAGATGATTTTTAGTTAAGTTTTGAATGTTTCTTACTCAAATAAATTGAATTGAGATTCATTTCATGCGTCAAGATCCATTTTGGATGATGAAAATTTTTTGATGGCATATTAGTTGCCACTATTTTTCGGAGAGACTAGTTTTGTCATCCAAAAATACCCAAAATTTGAATCTCATCGTCTTTTTTTTTCCTTTTTTTGTCTTAAGTGTGAATATGTATGTATAAGTGATGGTAGTCTGGTTGGTAGAAGCTTGTATTTCCTTCCATCATTTAATGTTTGATCCTCTTTCTCATCATACATTTGGTATTTTTACCGTAGGGTCGAGTAAGGACCTAAGCTAAGGGTAGGTCAGGTGTATGGGATAACGGAGTGGCACAATTCATATTGGTCGAGTTAGTGAATTGGGCTGAAGGTTAGCTCATGTGTGCTGAGTGGGACAGCCATTGGACTAACATGTTGAAGCGGGGTCAACAGAGTGGCATCCATTCAGTCGGTCTATGGGTTGGCGTTGTAGGCTATCGATTTGGGCTAGTGTGGATTTGTGTGTCACAGAAGTTTTGGCTAGATGATGAGAATTTAAAGGCGGATCATTGGTGGGTTCAACATCATAGGTCCATGAGAGCTGTTGTGCGGGATGGCGGGATTCGTGGGAGACCAATCCCACGGTGGCAGTAACCCACGTGTGTGTTGTGGGATCTCAATCTGATGATGAAACTTTATAATTTTCTATGCAAATCCTTGTGAAAATGCAATCCAACCCAATTTGAGCTAGATTAGATGGTGATCCTAGGGTAAGTGGGATTGGCCTAGATTATGCAATTTTTTTTACAAGTTTTGGCCTTTTTAGCCTATAAATATGCTAGAAAAATAAGGAAAAAGGTGAAGTCACCCAACCAATTTTTGAGATCAATGGAGCTACTCTCTTGAATTGTTGCATCCCACTTCAATGTGTCCCCTCCTATTTCTACGATCAATGAAGCTTCCCCTTTGATGTTGTTGTTGTCCAACTTGAATTCTCCATGCATATTTATGTGATCAATGGAGCTTACTTCATTCATTTTTGTTGCTCACCTCGATGTCTCCCCGCATGTTTGTGTGATCAATGGAGCTCCCCTCTGACATTGTTGCTTCCCACTTCAAAGTCTCCCCACCTGTTTATGAGATCAACAAAGAACCCCTTTGGCGTTGTTGTTGCCCACTTCAGAGTCTACATGTGTAGTTTTATAATCAATGGAGCTCCCCCTTTCGAGTTACCACTATCCATCTCGGAGTCTTCTTACCTGTTCGTGCAATCAATCAAACTCCCTTTTGATGTTGCTACTACCCACCTCAGAGTCTCCCCACCTTGCAATCAACAGAGTTCCCATTTGGTGTTATTGTTTCCTACCTCAAAGTTTTTGTGCATGTTTGTGCGATAAATGGAGCTCTATTTCACTTTTTCATTCTTTATGGAGAAAATTTTTTGCATTGTTGTCACACTTTCCTGAGGAGATTATCTTTGCTAATGTTGTGCTTTCGGAGGAAGATTTTATGTGTTGTTGTTGCACTTTTTTAATGGAAACTTTTTATGTTGTTATTGCATTCCTAAAGAAGTTTTTTCACATGTATCTATAGAATCTCTTCCTCTTGAAAATCAACAAAAAAGTATTGAATTTCAATAAGGTGATGTCGGTGCCAATTAAAGATGAGCTAGCCCTTTCTTCGACGGTATGTAACTTTGAGCTTGTGAATATCAACCATATCCTTGACGAGCATTAAAAGAATAAATTCTTAATTAGAATGAAGAGCTTGTGCAGACTTTTCATGCAAAGATGTTGGCTTTTGAAGAAGAAAACATGAAGCTACAAACATTCCGACGATGAGGAGGATGTTGTAGTGGATCAATGTATTGTCTTATGTTGACATATTATATCCTTTGTACCATTGTGTAATAGTCGTTGTAACTTTTCAAGGCTGATGTGACTTTTATACGTAGTGAAAATGTGTTTATCTAAACATCTTTATTTTGCTTGATATTGTGGTTACTCCATCTCTTAGGTTGTCATAGAGTGTTGTCGCCTAACTTCTAAGCTGATATCACTTGACTTTTGGGTTGTTGCTGCACCACTTCCGGGATGTTATTGACACTATTAGGTTGTTGTTGCCACCATCACATGGGCATGTGAATAGTGAAATCGAGTCCTTCTAAGGCATATGCCTTCTAAGACTCTTCAGCTTCTCAAATATGTAGAATCCTTCAATCAGAGTTAGCATGTGTGATTTGTATAAGAAAATCATGTACCTTTTGAGGCTCATGCATTTTGAGATTTATATCTTTTTGAAGTCTGTGATTTTTGAGACATTTAATGTACTTACACCTTCAAAGGCTTATCATCTTCTAAGACTTTTGA